CAGCCAGTGAAAATGGATTCACATGTAATGCTTGAAACATGTCAGCAAAAATAAATTAAGTGAAATTCTACGTTTACTTCATAAGAGTGGAAATGAACAAATTACACCCGATCCTACCACTCCATACACAATGTAAACTACACCCCAAAACATCCTTTCGCCCATGGGTACTATCGTGTTTCACCAGTGTATTGAAATAAACAAATTAATTATAATTTCAGCCTCTAGTTGAGCACTACCTCGTCTTTATGTCAACTTTAAGTTATTCATTGCCTACATCAGTGACTTCAAAATATATGTTTCAATCCCAAGAATTTAACTCGCTGTTAATTGCATGGGAGTGCCAGTCTTTCATGAATTACTGGGATTACTGGGAACATGAAGCTGTAACTAAATCCTGGTATAAGCACCGGTTAGGCAGGCTTGAACTATGCATGTGAAGCCACCTGAGAGGTATATTCAATCCAATAGATTTCTCATTGTTTGGTAACTATTTGCTGCAAATGCAGCAAAAATCAATATAAAAATATTACCCACACAGCATTCTACAGGTTACTTGTCATATACAGTAATTGCTCAATTCAACATTAATGACAGGTGTTGCTATGGGCAACATATGTTAATGATGCAACAAGTATTTGTATTACATAGTCGGAGCATATCAGAGATGTGGGCCCTGGAATTGGCCACCAGTCGGCCATTTTACCGTAAGTTTGATTTGCCAAACAATGTGTAGTAAAGTCCCATAAAATTCAATGTATATACCAAGTTTGAATAAAATCTGTCAAGGCAAGGAATGGTCGCCATTCAGCCATATTGATTTAGATTGTCAAATAAATGTGCATATGATGTATGATATATATAGACATCGGTATATACAATATTAGAACATGATCGGTCAAGGCATATGTTAGAGACATGGATCTAGAACAGCATCTGTTAAATATTTATTCCATTATGCATGATGTATGTATGAGGTTTGAATCTAATCAGTCAAGACATGTCAAGATATAGACACAAGGATGTACAAAGGTCAAAACATAAGTCCCAATTTTCTTCTTACCTTATTGAAAAATTATCATAAATTCGTGAATATATGTGTTTTTATTTATTTTTACCAAAAAAATTATGACAACATTTTTGTCTTTGTTTAGCAAAAATGAATCAGAAAAAATAATTAAAAATAAAATGATTTTTTTTTAATTTTCGGTAAGTATTTTGTATATATTTCCGAATTATTATGAAGTCAAACCATAGTCATTTATCCACTGTCTATTAGAAATTGGATAAAATGTGTTAAATATGACAACAAAAACACTGACGAGCTTAATTTAGTGATGGAATCAAATAATATATTGATGCACACACGGAACAGCTCGTCTAAGGACAGCATATTTTCATGGTAACAATGACAAGGGAGGCAACCATCACTTGTGATTCACTCGCAGGAAATCGATAATATTTTGTTTTCTTGTGATCGCTCATTGAATGGGGGCAGCACTGAC